CTGGGGGACTCCATGGGGCTCGGGAAGGCCAGTGGGGTCAGTGTGGACCCTGAGCAGAGGAGAGTGAGGCGGGCTGCTCAAGGCCAGAGGCTCTAAGGGGAGGGGCATGAGGCTCCGGCAGGTGGACCCGGCTCCAAGGGGGGGCCTCTGCCACTGGCTGGCTGTCCCTCCAGGTGCTGGTTTCCAGATCTGTAAAATGTGGATGGCCTTACACCAAGTTGGTTCAAGAGCTAGAGACATTGGGCATTTAGTGCGGTGTGCCAAACTGGTATTTATAACCCAGCTGTTGGCTATTCCACTGGAACAGGGAGGGGGAAGGGGGAGGGGGGAGGGGGAGGGGCGGGGCTCAGGACTCAAGCTCTGCTTCTGGGGTCAGGGTGGGGGGAAACCAGAGGGCTGGAGGGCTTCCCCTGGTTGTACCTGGGCCCGCAGCACCCAGGCTTGCTGCAAAGCCCTGCCACTGTCCGTGGCACCCACGGTGCGCTGGCAGCTTTGGTGACATTTGTCGCCGCAGTCCAAGTAGGGGGCGGCTGGAGGCCACCTTGGGTGAGACAATGATCCGGGACCTGGGAGACAGGGGGGACCCAGGAGTGCCACTGGTTGTGTCCTGCCTGGCATCCTTCTGGCGGGCAGAGTGTCTAGGGGAAAGCCAGGTTCCCCAGCCCCCACACGGGTGAAGGGCCACCCCCCCAGGAAGGCCAGTGGGGGAGGGAAAGCAGAAGTTGGCCAGCTCACTTCCTCCCCTCCCTGGTGCGCACTCAGCACCCCGGACTCCTTCGGGTCTCACTGGGCTCAGCCCAGAGTGAAGCCCGCAGCCTCCGAGGGTCAGATGTGCCCTTCCCGCTGGGCTGGGCAGATGCCTGGGATTCACAGCTGGGCCCCCAGCCCGGGAGCGGTCGGGGTGCCCTGGGCAGCCGGCGAGCCCCTGCTATTCCTGCGGCTCCACCAAGTGCAGTCTGCTCTCTAACCTCGTTTTCTCACGTTCAAGAAAAAGTGGGTCGAATTGAAACGTTTTTGGACCTTCCGAACGCCCATCTTTGGGTTTCGTCACACTCCTGTCCCAAATTTGGGGCAGGTTTCAGACTTGGGGCGGGTTTCAGATTTGTGGGGTGCTGTCTTGAGCTTTCCAGGCCCTGTCTTGGTTTGAAATGAGCTGCTCGGGCTCTGGAGAGGTGACCTTTCCCGGGACCGCCTTTGCTGCCCCCGTTGTGGGGTCTGGCCTGGCCCCTGGCTGGCTCCACTCATGGCTGTGTGGACGTGACTGGTGCTTACTCCGCGCCCAGCATGCCCAGGCTCTCCCCTCTCCCTCCCCCCCTCCCCGCCCCTGGGCTTTGCTGCAGCCCCTCTCTACTCCACTCTGCAGCGCTCACCTCCGAAGCCTGGTCTGGGCAGTAAACAAACCAGCCAGGAGCCCCTCTGGCTCTGTACCCATTGCCCTATCTTCTGAATCTGGGCTCGAATCCTGCCTCCGGGACCCTTGGCACTGTGATCCTGCGGCTTGCCCAGGCCTACCCCAGCGTCCCCAGGGGTCCAAGGCGAGTTCCACTGTAGGAAGCGCAGGCAAAGCTGGACATACACACAGGGAACGGTCCATTTCTGGCTGCCTGGCCTGCCGGCCCCCAGCCTCTGAGACCAGCTGGCCCCTTTCCTGGAGCCCAGCGTCTTCTCCTGCTTTGCCAGTAGCTGAGGGCCAGGCTCCTGTTTGTGAGCTCAGAGCTGTGTTGACGATGGGGTGTGGGAAGAGCGTATGATTTCACTCAGATGTGGAATTTAAGAAACAAGCAAAGGGAAGAAGGAGAGAGAGAGTGAGAGAGAAACGGAGAGACAGACTTTTAATTACAGAGGGCAATCTGCTGGTTACCAGAGGGGAGGTCGGTGGGGATTTGGGCTCCACAGGTGATGGGGGTTAAGGGGTGCACTTGTCGTGATGAGCCCCCGGTAATGTGCAGAAGTGTCGCATCACTAGATGGTATACCTGAAACTAATATAACACTGTAAAATAATAAACATAAAGTTACACTTACCAAAAAAGTAAGAAAGGTCTAACTCCACCCACACATGAAAAACACAGGGTGAAAAAAAAAGATGGGGTGTGGGAGCTGATATCACTGAGGAGAAGCTTCTAGAAGTGCTTGCGGGACCGAGTTCCACACTCCGTTGCCAGGAATCTGATCACTTCCAGGGCACCTTCAACACAGCAGCCCTTCCTTGCTTCTGAGCACGGTGGCTTCTTAAATCTTCAACTGTCACCTCGCACCGTTCATGTCAGGTGACTTACGGGCAGCTTAGAAGTGGAAATTTCAGACATTTCTGTGTGGTTTGAATAATAGTACTGAGAAAGGATCCTAAAACAAAATACAAAAGGCCCCAGAAAACCCAGACTTTCACAGATCCCCAAACCCAGTTGTGCTTCTCCTTCCTCGGGAAAGTGATGGAGTTGCGGGCTCTCGATGCTGAGGTGTGACCAAGAGCACATTTCAGGGGCTCTGGTGCTGGTGGCTTGTGGCCACAGCGGGCGGGTTGCTTTGGTTCCACATGGATGAGGAAGGTTGCAGCTGATGTCAGTCAGGGTTCGAGAAACAGAGCCCGGAGCCGACGGGAAGTGCGTGCATGCCTATACCATCAATTTCCTTACCCATAAGACAAATAAAAATACTTTTGCACTTGGAGGATTCTTGTAAAGATTAAATTAAAGGATGGATGATGTATATTTAATATACGACCCTTTCAGGTAGGCATATTATTATTATTAACAATTCTTTTTAATGTTTATCTTTGAGAGTGAGAGAGAGAAAGAGAGAGAGCTCGTGCATGTAAGCCAGGGAGGGGCAGAGAGAGAGAGAGAGAGAAGGAGAGGGAGAGAGAGAGAGATACAGAGGATCCAAAGCAGGCTCCATACTGACAGCAGAGAGCCTAATTTGGGGCTCAAACACCGAAAACTGTGAGATCGTGATCTCAGCCGAAGTTCGACTCTTAACCGACTGAGCCACCTGGGCGCCCCATAGGTAGCTCTTATTATCTCCACGTATTTTTATTTTTTAAAAACAGTTTTATTGAGACATAATTCATATCACATAATTCATTGCTTCCTGGCATATTACATTATTAACTTGGTAAAATTGTGATAAAATATATGTAATGTAAAAATGTCCATTGAAACCGCCCTAAGTGACAATTCAATGACATTAATTACATTTACAGTGGTGTGCAGCCCCCACCACTATTTCCCAAACTTTTCATCCCCCCCCAAACAGAAACTGTAACTGTTAAGCATATTATACCCATTTCATGGATGAGAAAACCAAGGCACAGACAGGTGAGGAAACTTGTCCAAGGTTACACAATAAACATGGGGTAAAGCCAGGTAATTTGGGTCCAGAGCTTGTGTTCTTAATTTCCATGCTGCACTGGGTGTCCAGTAATGGCTAATGCTTACTGAGAGCCCATAGGTGCCCACACTTCTCTTCAATCTTACAGGACGCCTGCAAGGTATCTATTATTGTTCCTATTTTACAGCTGAAGAAACTGAGGCTCGGGGAGGCTGCCTAAGCACAACCACGGGGTGTGGCAGGCAGAGTTGGCACGTGGGTCTCCCTGACCCGCAGGCTCACACTCTTCCTTCTCTGCCACACACCCTTGCACACGACCAACACTGTCTTCCGGCTTCACTGTGGCTCTGACACGGAGCCCACTGTTAGGTGTGGCAGACACCAGCTGAGATGCCCCCCAAGACTGCCTTGGGGCGGTTCCCAGGAGCCGGAGGAAACTTCAGCCCAAAGGCAGGGCCCGGGGTGCTATTCTGGGTGGTGAGGGTCCGCAGGAGAAGGCTGGGTGTGCGCTGGAATCGCGTGCAGGGGAAGGCATGCGAGTCCTCTCCGTTCCGTTCCACGGAGAGTCCTCGAGGACCCCCCCCCCATCCCCACAGTGTCCACGGGCATCTGCCCGAAGCACAGTCTGATCAGCCTGCTTAGAGATTTGCACAAATTGCGAGGGTGGGGGTGGGGAGGTGGGGTGATTAAAAGAGAAACATTATACCTGGGTCCAGGAATCCTGAAAGGCTTCCTCTAAAAAAGTCTGGAGCAATGAAACGGGCTTAAAAAGAGGTGGTTCTGAGTCACGGGAGATGTCAGGAGGGAGGCGCTGCAAGGTGCCAGGCGCCCGGGGCTGGGAGGTTCACCCCAGGAGGGCGGGGCGGGGCGGGGCGAGCGTGGGGTGGGCGGGGCCTCCCCAAGCCCCGCCCCGGGGCCGCAGCCTCCTCGCGCGAGAGGTGGCGGGCGGGTCCCGCCGCCGCCGAACCTGCGCCCGCGCTGCGGACGCTGCTGCCCGCTTCTCTGAGCCGGCGGGAAGGGCGGGCGCAGGTGGCCTGGGACGCGTGTTCCTCTTCGCGCTGGTGCCTGCGGGGGGAATTCAGCAACGAGGACTCCTGTCTGGTGCCCCGACCCCAGCTTCCTCAATCCAGCCCTGAGCCGAGCACCGGGGCCCCCGGGCCGCGGACCCGCTCCCCCTTTCCGCGCTCTGCACGCCCGCCCGCGCTCCGGCCTGGCCTGGGGGGGGGGCGCCCCTCTGTGCCCTCCGTGCCCGCGCCGGCGCTTGTCCCCGCCCCGCCCTGGGTTGGCAGTCACTCTGCATTGGGTCGGGTGAGCGCGAGTCTCCCCCGCTCTGGGACCGCTTCTGTTTTAAGAATGTGCGTCGTGAGCCATTCAGGGCGTGTTAGGAAATGAACGCGTGAGCGTGGGGTGCCCGCGTGCCTCGGGCAGAGCGCCCCTGCCCCACGGCCGCGAGCAGGCGTTTCGCCGTCAGGGGGCATCTCCAGGGCAGGAGTGGGGCGTCCCTCCGCCTGCCTGAGCTGCGCCCCCCACCCCCCAGGCCCCCTGGGCGGGGAGGTGCCCACACCCCAGGCGTCCCTCCCCTGTCCTATCCTGGGGCATCCTGTCCCCGCTGGGAGAGGCCTCAGCGGGAGGGAGCAGGGCAGCCACAGTACACCAGGGAAGCCTCTTTCCCGCAGACCCGGGGCTGGTGGGGGTGGCGGCGGCCCTGGCCCCCGCCCTCTGGACCCCCTCCGCTCAGAACAGGAGCTGGGACCTGCGCCCAGGCCGGTGCCCTGCATTTCAGGGCTGTGGAAGGCTGCTTCTCTGACTTCCTCAACATTCCTGGAAAATGACCTGAATTTTCTGGAAGAGGGAAGGAGGATCTGGTTCTTGGAACATTCCCACTTCTTCACACAGATGCCACTCCCTCAGACGCACGTGAAGGCTGGGGCATCTGTGGTCAGCGCTGGCCACCGCCCGCCGTCAGGCCGCCCCCTCGCCGGGGAGCCCAGCCCGGGCTCCGCTCCGCCGCGGTGAGCCTTCCAGCGGCCCCTGTGGACCCGCCTGCTCTCTCACGCCTGTCCTGAGCCTCCTTGACCCGGGCCCCAACTCACTCACTCGAAGCAGGTCAGGAAGGCTGGGAAGGGCCCTGGGCGCTTCCTGGGGACTCTGTTATGCTGTGAATGGCGTCCCCAGGCTGCTCTGCGCCAGGGCCGACTGCCTGCCTGCCGCCCCTCTTTCTCTCTTCTGCCTTTCCCGCTGTGGCTTCTCTGGCCAAGCCCTGCGGAGCAGGGAAGGACTTCGAGGTTAAGGCAGGGCAGGAGGAAGGGGGGGGGGGGGTGGTTGCCACCTCTGGGCTCTGGGACCACCAAGGATGATGAGTGTCAATGGACCCATTTGGCCTTGGTGCTGTTCCGGCTTCCCCCCAGCGTGTCCTGATCCGTCTGGGGGTCTCCTGGGGCCTGGGGCTGGCGGGGTCTCAGGGCCACGTCCCGCTTCACCTGAGCCCTCTGTGGATGCACTGCCCCGGGCAGGACCTGTGCACACGGGGGCTGCAGAGGCTCTATCGCGATTCCGCGGCAGACGTGGGCCCTTGGTGCTGCGTCTGGCTACACCCCGGAGGCACTGGTGCCCTGTTCCCGGCTTGATCCGCAGGGGCTGTATTTGTGCTTTCTGACGTTGTACTCAGCACCGAGCATGCACTGGACACTCAGTAAATGGCTGGCCCTTCCTCTGGCTGCTGCCCACCTGCCCTCTCGCCAGCCTGGGCCCTGTTATCCGGCCTGCTTTAAGGAATACTCAGTCCACCCCAGTGCGCTCCCTGGGCTTGAAGAGCCGGGGTGTCTCTGCGTGCCCCTCCAAGCCCCCTCTCACATCCTCTCCCGCCCCTCCTGGCTTTCCGGTCAGAAAGGGCTGCCCCAGCTCCTCACGTGTGCACAGAAATGCTGCAATTTCCAGAAGAATCCCAGGGCCCGAAGAACCCACCCAGCAGGCGGTCGGCCCCACCACCCCGCTGGCCATTTCTTGGCCTTCCTGGGCCCTTCCCTCCACACACAAAGCCCTTGGGAAGCCCGGCTCTTCCCCGTTGAAGGGGAAGCCCTCACCCCCACCTCCGTGACCCCAGGACAGCTCTGTTCCCCCTGCCTCAGCAGCTCTCTCACCTCTGGTAGGGTCAGCAGATTCTCCCCTGCCTGGTGGGGGCCCCGCTCCCGGCCACATGATCTGGGCCACATCACAGCTACCCAGCTATCTTTCCGTTGCAACCTGTGACCTTGTTCTCTAAGACAAGGCCGTGAGGTTCTTCTCATTTGCCCCAGAGTTTCCAGAAAGGGCTGTAGGGCAGTGGGCAGCCCCCACCCCCCGAGGGCCGGGACATGATCTGACACGGTCACTGAAGGTTCCTCAAGGGAGTATCATGAAAAATTTCTGATTTCCACATCGTCACAGAACAAGATAAAACCCTCATTGCTTCACGCCCTATGCCACCAAGCTTGTGGATTATTATAGCCTGTCTTAGGAAAACTATTTGACAGGGTCTGCTAGGGGTAAACTCAGAGCTTGCACTGGGTAGGCGGTGGTGATGGGCGCCTGTTGTCACGGGGTGTGCCTGCCTGCCCTTTCCCCCACCCAGCCCAGTTCCCTGAACCCTGGGATGTACTGAAAGTCACAAGTGTTTTTTCTTGTGCTCTCTGCAGCGGCGCAGAGACTGAAATTGAAGCGACACAGAGAAGACCAGCGTGGCCCGTGCACCAGGATGGCACCCAAATTCACGAAGCGTTCGTATTAAAAAAAAAAAAAGGCACAACTGATTTTTCTTTTGGAGTCTGTTGCGGAGTTTTGCCTTCCCAGCACCGATGTTCCATTCGGGTTAACCACGCATTCGTTAAACCAGTAAAATTTCTTGAGCCCCTGCCGTGGGCCAGGCAGCATGGTACGGGGACCCTGGGGACACACGGGGATCAGGGCAGATGCAGACCGCCTTCCCCGTCTTTGAGGTCGGCTCGAATCCCAATTCTGCCACTTTCCGCGTGACCCTGTGCAAGTCATTGAACCTTTCCACGGCTCAGTGCTTTTTTACTGTCAGGGGAAGATGGGAATTCCTGCCTCTGCGTTTGCCTGGCAAGTAGTAGGTGTTCAATAAATGACCGCCATTCTTATCGCTGTGCTCCAGGCTGTCGGGTGTCCTCTTTCTTCTCACGTGGAAATTGCTGGGAAGCTAGTGAGCTGTTGGCTCTGACGGCAGTTGGCTGTCCTGAGTTTTCGAGTCCCTTGGAAGGATTCTGGGGAGTTGGCCGATCGGCTCCAGGTACCTGCCAGGCTGCGGGCCGTGCCGAGTGACCCGGACTTGGGGCTGTCGCTATGCCCTGCTCTAATTTCTGTTTCTCTGTGTGCTTTGTAACTGGGCCACTCTTTCAGTCGGCTAGAGTAGTTAATGACCTTGAGAGCCAATCCCAGCCCTGAATATAGAATCCTGCTCTTTTGAAGTCACCCACTTTCTTTGTGGGCCTAAACGTGTTTGTGTTTTCCCTCTGGGGTATGCCTTCTCTTCCGCTTTGATGCCGCCTCTGTAACAACAGGGCTCGGAATTATTAATTCCTACTGCGCAGTGAGGTGCGGTTTTATTACACAGAAAAGGGGAAAATATAATTGCTGTCTCGAGTAATCATTTTCTGAAGGCTGCAAGCATAACCTTTCATTAATATTTCATTCGCGGCCAGGGTGAGTAACTTGAATAGGCCTAAAAATATTGTCCCCTCTGCATGGAGAGATCGGGAGCTGGGAGCCAGTGTGTGCTCTTCAATTGTTTGCAATTATTTCTAAAATTAAAAATGTTTAACCCATGAACCTGTAAGAAAGCGGAGGAGAGGCTTATAGAGATATAGCTGTTTAGTGACTGGGGTAAAGGTGCAAATCCAGGCATAACGCCTCTTAGCCCCTCCACTGGGGGTCATCTCACCCGTCCCTGCAGCGGCTTTGGGGCACGGGGTCCGGGGGGCCCAGTGACTCACTGGTCGAAGCGAGGCTCCCAGGTCACGTCCCGTAGGCACTGCGAGAACGGTCGTTCACAGGGCATGGGGTTTAAGGGTGCAGTGGGAAGTGTCGTGCTCTCTGATGTTCCCTGGACAGGGGCACTTGAGGCGTTCAAAGTGTCTCCCTGGAGAGGGCCAGCAGCTGATTCTCAGCTGGGGAACTGGGGACACTGTGCTCTTGGGGCAGAGGGGAGGCAGGCCCGTGGGGAGGGCAAGCGCTGAGCAGGTGGAGGGTGTGCAGGAATGTCCCGGAGCCTTCGGTGACTTCTGGCGATTCTAGGCGCACCCTTCCGAGTCCTGGGGACTCCAGCCGGTTGGGGGCCCAGGGCTGGCTCTGTGGTGTCTAAAGTCCTGGCTTTGCATGTCCTCACACTGTTTCACAGACATGAGCTCCTCTGAGCAGGCGAACAGCCCCCCGGGGCCTGCAGGAATGTGATGACATCAGCCCTTGTCCCCCAGCTGGTCTGCTTTATCTCATGGGATCTTCTGAGGACCCTCGAGGAAGGAGACGCCCCCGTACAGACGAGGAGGCTGGGCCTCGCGGCTAAAGTCATTGATTCCTGAGGTCACGCGGCCGTAGGTGAGCTGGGATTACGGACGCCTGTGGATCCTGGTGGGGGTGTGGGCTGCTCAGCGCTGGGCGATCACAGCTGGACCATGTGCGAGGCCACTGCACTTTGCACTCTCGCCCGCAGGGCCTCTCTCTACGTTCAGGTTTGCACGGGTCCCGACTCCTAACTCCGGGCGTGTCCCTGCGAGGGGGAAGGTCACTGAGCTCTGTAAACATCACGGGGATTTTTAAGAACATCCTTGCTCAAGCCTGGAGTTGCTGTGTATCTGTGTTCTTGGCTCGCTGTGTTTTCCTGGAAAAGTAAATAAAGAGAAGACATTGGCCAATAGGTTTATTGCCTTATATGATTAGTGACAAAAGGGGTTATCTTTCTTAGTTATTAATCATCTTGGGATTTCTAATGTTTATTTATTTTTGAGAGAGAGACAGATCACAAGCAGGGAAGGGGCAGAGAGAGAGAGGGAGACACAGAATCTGAAGCAGGCTCCAGGCTCTGAGCTGTCAGCACAGAGCCTGACATGGGGCTTGAACTCACGAACTGTGAGATCATGACCTGAGCCGAAGTCAGACTGAGCTACTCCGGAGCCCCAATCATCTTGGGATTTCCAGGTGTGCTTGCATTTGGACCCAAAGAGGTGGTGTTGTCAGAGTCGGTAAGCCCTGAGATCGGGTTGGGGGCCCCAGTGAGGCGGGGGGGAAGCTGGAGAGGAGTGAGGACTTGAGGAGGTGCGGTGAGATTAGTTTTTCTTTTCCTCTGCTCTGGAACATGATGGAAAGTGGCAGAACCCTCACGGATGGCGGCCCCTCTGCGCGGGGGGCTCTTTGTTGATCCATTTGACCTGCTGAGCGGGTACCCCGTTTTATACACAAGGAAATGGAAGTCCTCAGAGACTAAAGAACACCCAGGCGCCAGGTGAGTGCACAGAGCAGGGTCCGAGCCATCCTGTCCCCGCCAGGCCAGGGGAGAGCTGACCCCACAAAGCGGGGGCTCCTGGCCCCTCCCTCTGCCGGATACTTCCCAAATTCCTCCCTTCGTTCCGTGATTACGTGGCCCTGCTCCTGCCCCATCCAGACCCGCTAATCAAACCACTTTAAAGGGGTTTAAACAGTGGCTGCATTTTATTTCCCCTGTACTCTTTCCATTTCACAAACATAACGTGTTGCTTACAGAAAGCTTGCGTTTTCTTCCCTAATCCCCTGCCCCAGAAGCGGCCACAGCCGAGGACCTACTGCGTGTCAGGCCAGACTTGGTTTCCAGGCACATAGGAACCTTTAAAGATGTTCTACACGCAGAGAACTTTTATTTATAGGACATGCGCACACAGAAGCAGACTAGTAGCGCAATGCTCATGAAAGTCAAAGACGGGACGTGGCCTTAATGGGGGTTCAGTTCGATCTAGGATGGAGCCTTCGATAGAATTGGTGTCTGTTTGGTAGATAAAGGACTCTCCACTCACAGCCGTGACAACTGTGTACAACATGTCATTACATTTAAAAAGTGAGGGACGAATTGTCTGCATCACGTGGACACAGTTTCCGTGGCAGTTTCGCGTGGAAATGTATCCGGCTCGGACAGCCGCTGTCCACACAGCCCAGAATTCCCGGTGCCGATCTGACAGCGGTGTCGGTTGGAGGATGTCACTGGCCCAAGCTCCCCGTGACACTGGGACGCCTCCGGAGAGCCCTGGTCACCCCACAGGAAGTCACTTGCTGCCATGTGCGAGGGAAGTCCTGTGGTCAGTGCTCCGGCAGGGGTGAGGGGAGGGGCTGAGGGCAGGGGAGACCGTGATGACCGTGAAGCCTCCCGGGAGGGCAGCGCCTAGGAACGGTTCAAATGGTAGCACCGAGTCCCTTCATCTCTACGCAGGCAGAAACCCAGGCGCAGAGAAGGAAAGTGATGCATCTGAGGTCACACAGCATGGCCGTGGCGGCACTCAGCAGGCTCCCCAGGACCACTCTGGGCGTGACTCTGGAGTGTGGCCCTGGTCGGGTGGAGGGGGGCTGCGGCAGGCCTTCTGTGGTGCCTGTTTTCTCCGCGGGGTCTCCTCCACTTTCCTTTCCTCTCCCTTCTCCCTCCTTCTGTCGGCACGACCCCCCAGTTTGGTCTACATACCCCTTGTCAGAGCTGGGGAGATTGGGGCAACTTGTTGAAAGCCCTGGGTGAGGATCTGGTTTGATGCATTCTCTTCAGAATCCTTGGATGTTCCTGGTGTGTGCTGTGTGCACTCATGTGTGCACCTGTGTGTGTGCATGTGGGTAATGCTTGTGTGTGTGTGTAATGCTTGTGTGTGTGTGCTGCGTGGACTGGTGAGTGTGCACGTATGGTGTAGGTGGTACATCCCTGTGTGTGTGTGTGTGTGTGCTGTGTACATTTGCATAAGTGTGCACGTGTATGTGTGTGTGCATGCTGTGGGTGGTGCCTGTCTGTGGTGTGTGTGTGGGGTGCATGTGCTGTGCACACCTGTGTCACTGTGCACGTGTATGTGTGTGTGCATGGTGTGGATGATGTGTGTCTGTGCATAGTGTGTGTATATGTGTGGTGCATGCATGTGTGTAGTGCTTGTACGTGCGAGCTGCGTGCATTGGTGTGTGTGTGCACGTGTCTGTGTGTGTGCATGCTGTGGGTGGTGTGTGTCTGTGTGTGTGTAGTGCTTGTGCGTGCGAGCTGCGTGCATTGGTGTGCGTGTGCACGTGTCTGTGTGTGTGCATGCTGTGGGTGGTGCATGCCTCCGTGTGTGTGTGTGTGTGTGCATGCTGTGCCCGTTGTTAGCGTGCACATGCGAGCTGCGTGTTGGAGGGACAAGGGTGACTCCTGGCGCGGCGGGCTGCAAGGGCCCGGAGCAGGGGCCGCCCCGCCGCCCGTCCCGCAGGCTGCCTCCCTCCCAGCAGAGCCCGGGGCTCCGGTGAAGAGACGCGAGCGCTCAGAAATAGTAAACCACTGTTTTCTTGCCGGCTGTTTGCCCTTATTAATTCAGGTAGCAATTACCCATTCCGAATATTTGGAGACTAATTAGTTTTTCCTGCGGAGAAGGCAGAACGAGGAACGGTTTGCTCTGACCCGATCCACTTTCTCAGTGTCCCAAGGAGGGGGCGCGGGGGACAGAAGGAGGGAAGGGACCGAGGGCGAGAGAAACCCGCCCGGCGCCTGGGATGCCCCTCTGGCTGTTGGGTCGTCCCTGCAAGTCTATAGCGGATAA